AAACAAGTATAATAACATTTAAACATATAAATGTATACTATTACTCACAGAAATGAGAATTACGAAAATCGAGCTTCGGTAGTTCGACTCTCCGAAAGTCAACCAATTAATCTAAAGATAATCAAAATATTCACTTTAGAATGTAATATTTCTTAAAAATAATTTAAAACTAAATTATTCTTAAAAACCCAACCCTATCCTTAATTTTCATGTTTTAAGCTATTTCGGAAATTTTAAAATCTCGAACTAGTCAACATAACACTAGATCGGACCTCCTACATATTGAACCAAACTTGAAACTTATTGAATCAGTGAGAAAAACCACTGAACCGGGACAAAAACCCATTAAACCAGCCTCAAAACCATTAAACGACCTTAAACCCCTTAAACCGACTATAAAATCCATTGAATCGGCCTTAAACCTATTGAACTGGCCTCGAAATACGTAGATTCGGCTGTGAAAGACATTGAACCAGACTTAGATCCCCTAAACCAGTGAGTAATTACCTTGAACCGGCCATAAATAGCATGAACCGATGGTTTTTCTAATTTCTTATGAATTTTTTTTAACATTGAACTGGCCGGTTCACTATTGAACCGGCCGATTTTCACTTGAATCGGCCTAGAACCATGTAAAAATTAAATTATCTTCCTAACAGTAACTTGAACCAGCTAAGAACCAGTCCAAAGAGTCTTGAACCAACTATTTTCCATTTTCTGCTTTATTTTTTATTTATTTATTTTTACGTTGGGGTTTTACATTTAGAGCCCGTGTTTTAGAGATATTGTTCAAAAAAATAATATTTCTAAGATTTTGATATCAGAAACAGAAGCATGTGCTTTTAAGAGTATAAAAGAACGCCATGTTGGATTTCTTATTCGCGTGTATAATTAGTTGAGACTCGGGGGCACTTCTATCTAGGCTTCTTCTTTTCGTTTTTCCCCCTTTTTTAAAACTTACCGAGACAATAAGTTCAGTAAAATTTATTATTTTGACTAATATTTTTAAAATTTATTACCCAGAAAAGGTTTGAAATAAAAAAATATTTAGAAAGTAATTTTATTTTTAAAAACACTGTTTTATACTATTTCACTTCTAATTTATGAATATAAGTTTGTAAAATTATAAATATATTTTTATAAAATTATATTTATAAATTATACTTATTTATTAAATTACAAATGTGAATTTATAAAGTTATAAATATATTTTTATAAAATTATAAATATGAATTTATAAGATTATAAAAATTAAAAAAATAATAAATTATAAAATTATAAAAAATTGCAGGGGGGGGGGGGGGGGACCTCTTTTTTTTTTTTTTTTTTTTTTTCATGCGGGGGGAGAAGGTGTTCGCAGAGGGGGGTGCAAGTGGCGGCCCGAGGGGTGTTCGTGCAGGGGGTTGGGGCTCATGCGCTGGGGGGTGGCCGGGCCTCTGGCGCAGAGGGGAGAGGGCTCGCGCAGGGAGCGGTGGCGGAGGCTTTCAGAAAAAACTTTGATAATAATAAAAAGGAGAGTTTACTATGTACCACTTGAACTTCCAACTCCTTTGGTCAATCACCCGCTACCATGCAGAATGCAATTTTCCTTTCCGAATTAAAAATAAATAACTAAGCATAATAAATTATATATTTTATTTATTTTTTAATTTTGATAAAATATAAAATGATACAATGAGTTCGGTGTCGTCGGTAAAATTTGTATTGTAAAGCTCAGTCAAATTTATTATTTAAAATAATATTTTTGTCGTATCAAGCGTGGTAAGTGAACTTATCTTAAGCCATGAAGATCATCGATAATGGATTGAATGTGCGGGGAACGAAACTTGTCCGCCTAAAAATTCATCAATTGATTTTAAGGAAAAATATTTTTTCAATAAATTTGTATTTTTCCCCAACAAATTATAGAAAAAATGCCCCGTTAACATCTATTGGTTCCGTTTGAATAATTATTCATGAAATAAGATAATGAAATTAATTTTTATTTGTAATTTTGAATATAATATATTATTTCTAAGTTGACTTTGCCAAAGTTTGTAGTTAAGATTATAGCGCATAATTTATTGTCTAAAATAATATAAGTTATATTAAAGTTTGCATCCTCGACTAACTTCCATGTCATTTACCTCCCTTTAAAATATCTGAAGTTTAAATTATTTCTTTAAACATATTCGGAAATTTATTCACTTTTTTATGTGAAAAGTCATAAATATTTGACATGGATTCATGTTGCAAACACACATACATTTAACATATAATGGCAAAATTCTCAATTCAAAATTTGGATCACTGTTGAATAATTTAGAATTAAATATTTTAAATCAATAATTTGAAGTTAATAAATTATTAAAAATTATATAAATCATAAAAAGAACATTTTTGAAGAATGAATTAGCTTTCTTAATCAAATAATATAGTTTTCTTAGTCAAAATTGACATTTGAAAAATTATTGAAATTATTGAGGATTGAACTAATTAAGAGAAATCTCATGATTGATTGTTAAATTATAATATCTTATTTCATATTGAAATTCAAGTGTTTAAATTTTTTATGTAACTTTTTACCATTGTGGTTATTTTATCGAGTTTGTAACAGAGGTAGATGCCAAAGTATTGGTTTATTCTCATGTTAATTGTATGACAAACACGCCAAAGGAATGTAGAATTAGCACGAGACAACTTCCTCACAGTTAAGAGTCCTTACTTGCTCTTTGCCTCAATTTTATTATAGTTCTATCTTCACATTAAATTTGTGATCTTTTGGTATATATATATATATATATAGGGATGGTCATGTACAAAAATGATACATGGGGCATATCCTTATGTTTATTAAGTTTAAGTAGTTTCTCCATCTACATTCCTTGTATTATTTACTTGAGATAATTTTGATCTCTAAACACAACTATAAACAAGGGATAACCTCTAAATAGACGGTTTGAGGGTGGGGATATGTTTTAATTTTTTTTTCCCTCACAAACCTAAGCTAACCTTCACGAGATTCCCTTCAAACCTAGTATTTAATAGTAAGTCCTAACACAGTAGGTCAATCGATCTTACAATTATTTGATTAATATCAACTATTAATTTTAATACTAATTAATTAAGGGATGTTAAGACCTTTGTCTTAGTGGATTATGACCCAATATTAAATAAATTCATTCAATTATATCTTATTTGATACTACATTCTAATTTATTGAATTAGTGACCATATTATAGAATTAGTATTTTATATTGACCAAATAGATATTAAAATTACTAACCCACTAGATTAATCCCTTCTATTAAATACATGGTTCTTGGTGGAGTCAGGCCTAATGGTCATTTCCATCAGATATTGAAGCTCTTGAATTGGAATTATGAAATGTTATATTGACAACTGAAAAATTAAGAATGTGTTAAACTTTGTTTGTCTAAAGAGTAGTTTATTAAATAAAATTAGTCAGGAATAAATTTACCAAAATGAATCAACCAAAAAAGAGATATAAGATTTACATGGTCACAATTAATAAATAAACGTAGCTAAGTGGGCAAAAATACTAAAATGAAAATAGTCAAATAAAAGTATTCTTCACTTGTAATGCTTTCTTCCACCTTCTTAAAATATTCTAGAATAAAATATTAATTTTAAATAAAAAAATTTGTTTCCTTAGACCAAATGCATTATTCAATACAGTCACGTGACTCTCTTAGATTGAATATGTCACATTTAGAATTTGATATGACTAGAAATTATATTATATATACAAAATGTTAAAAATAAAAAATGATGAAAACCAAAAAATTAAATACAAATTTTAATTTAAATAATTTTTTTGTCATTCCTCTCACCAAATATTATTTATTATTTTGAAATTATTTTTTATAAATTCTTCTTTTGATGCGTTAAAGACTTTAACTAATAAGAAATAATGGGCTGGGCTTTGAATACTGGATTTGAACACGAGCGTAAAGGCCTATTTTGTCGCGGTCATATTTGGACCTCTTCAGTTCATTGTTAAACTCTGTTCGGGCCTTCCCTCTTGAACTGAGGTCCGAATATGAGGGTCACAAAACAGGTCTTTATGCTCATGTTCACATCCAGTATTCAAACCCCAGACCATTATCTCTTATCAGTCAAAGCCCAATTGCAAAAGAGGGAATGAAAATCCTGAAAAAATAATAAAAATATAACAAAATGGCGAAAAATAAGCCACCGCTCAGTGCGTCTAAAACCCTAGCACTAAAACCTGGTGGCAACTCGTCTTTAAAACCCTGCTCATCTGCCACTTTCAAAGTACTGTTGTGCCCTGATTCCCTTCCTTGGCTTGCCTCTCTGTCTTCATCCCCAAGAACCCTAATTTTCTTCGTTATATATGGAATTTTGGGGTAAGATCTGATATTTTGTCACTATTCTAGGGCTTGTAACATTAAGTACACTGCACGTTCATTCGGCCTTTCTTTCGCATTTTGCTTACTTGCGTGTTTATACATAAAATATATCCCCGCACGCGTACACATAGCATGTATGCTGTTTATATTTGTGCTTTGAGCATCGATTGATGTCGTTCATTCGTTTTGTGCCTTTTTAGTAACCTGACAAATAAAGGGTTAGGGAAAAGAAAATCTTTTTCATGATACAATGGGGGGAGGGGATCGAATCTGGGTGAGCAATGGGGATCAGCAGGCCTCGGACCACTGAGGCAACCCACCTGCTCAGGGTAAAGAAAATCGGAGTCTCAGAAATATATGCTATTTTTTATACTTCACAATTTGAGGAAAGATTGCAAAAATTTATGCTGTTTCGCTCTTGCAATATTCTGTTTCCGAGTCTCCACCCCAGAAAAAATATAAAACGTAAAAGAGGGATCTCTCTTTACGCATGTTGCTTGGCTAAATGTGGATATCGTGGGGAGTACTGGGTCTGATTGGAGGTGCTTAATTGTATCGTAAGTTTGGTACTATTTGTTGGTTGAAACTTTCTTGGAAGTTTCTCCTGGGACCTTGATATGAATATAGGTGATTTCCGGGCTTTGTGATGTGGATTACTTTTACCAAATCTGCTTTGGCAGTGCTTACCTAAGAGTGTCTGAAGCACTTTTAAACTATCACTGGACATCAGCGGTGTTGTATATGTGCACTTGTAAGCACATTTATAATTGAAGGGCATGTTTTGTGAGTCTCCACGGAGTCTATCTTTGTTTCTCAGTGCAAATTGTATCTTGTATCTAGTTTCCCATGGAACGTCTGTAATCATATTAATTACGAAACCAATAAGCAGTATACCTACCACAGATACATGTGTCCCCAACCCTCTTTTTTTAAGAAAATATAATTTCTTTTTTTTAATGATATGTGTGGAATTAATGCGATTGTTTGCTTTCTTAGTGTCTATGTGGATTCACATCTGCAGGAACATGCTAGTCTTCCTCTGTCTTCCTCCATCTTCCTCAGAAATTTTGGCTTCATGGAGGCTGTTTATATGATTATATCATTTTTCTTTTTTGTTAGTTAGAATTGCTTAATACCATTATTTTTAGGAAAGTGGACTGCAACCTAGTTGCTGTACAAAAGCCTACCAAATGTTTTATTTATATATATTTAGTGTCTTAAATTAACATGAGTAAGCACCGAAAATATGACTTTATTAGTTGGTTTAGGGACTTAACTCTAAAAATTAGAAGTTTAGTGGTGTGTATCTGGAGAGTGATAGTTGAAGTGGGTGTGTTTGCACTATCCCTTTTTTACTATATTCCTGTAGTCAGACTTCTAATTATTTTATTTGATGATTTTGGAAGCTAACTCTAAAAATTGTTTTTTTTTTAGTTGCGTTATTATGTACAGCTTGCATTTGTGCTTCTTGTTTATTTCCCTGGACTAAATCTCTGCTGTAGTTCTGTATTAATCCTCAGTTCTGTATGAATCCTTATTTAATATCTATTTCTGTTTTTTCCCCTTCTCTCTCCTCAGTAGGAAATGCGGTGTATTTAATTTGTCATTTTATTTTTATCTTCCTTGTGGGTATAATGTCTGAGTACTGTTTACAGGTGTTGAAGTTAAAGCTGGGCAGCCTCTTAAAGTTAAGCCTGAAGAAGGAAGTATTATACATATTTCTCAGGTTATAATTAATTCCACTTGCACTGTTGGTGTTGTTGGTAGTGCATTAATATTTAGTAGGTTTATAAGTTTTTTTTTTTATCAATATAATTGAAATAATTTTTTCTTGTATATAAGTTTCTTATGGCGGTTTGAAATGATGTTTCTTTATTACTATTTTCCAGGCTGCCCTGGGTGAGGTGAAGAAGGAAAAAGGAAATGATTCTGTTCATCTTCACTTGAAAATAAATGGGGAGAAGTTAGTTGTGGGAACACTTTCTGCCGAGAAATTCCCTCAGATAACCTTTGACTTGGTTTTTGAGAAGGAATTTGAGCTGTCACATGAGTGGAAAAATGGAAGTGTTTACTTCTGTGGATATTCAACTGATAATGCTTTTGGATATCCTTTTTACTCCTTCACGTGATTTATTAAGCCCTTTTTTTATTGCTGTTCAATTCCTATCCTTTCCTATTGTGGATGTCTTTGTATCAATCTTTGTAGCTTTTCTATGCTTTTGCCCTAATCTATTGGCCAGGAGCTAAAGGTAAGGGTTCATTTGTTAAAAATTATAACTTTTTTCGTTTTGGAGAAGAGAGATCTAATGTTACAAAGATTTTAAGTAGCCATTTCATTTTTCTTTTTGTCAGTAAGAGGCAAAAAAAAAAAAAAAAAAAAAAAACCCTTTGCCAAATGGAGTCATATGGCTAGTTTCAGGTAGGGACTTGTGTCCATGAGTTAAATTCATCTGCTATTCCATTACAATGCTTCCACTATGTAGTTCTTGGGGCTTGAATTTTATTCATATCTATGGTTTGCATCTTTTCTTTAGTTATTCTTATTACTTTGTGTGTGATTTTCCTAGAAAGATTGTGAACAATTCCCTGGCTATTAATGCTACTTTGTTTGAATTCCTCTGTTTCCTTGACCATTGGTTTCTCCCTCCACGGATGATGAAGATGATTTTGGTGGGTCTTACATCCTTGTACAAGTCATTAGGTGTCATTCTAACAGCTAAAGATTCTCACCTGTTTTTTGCCATAATTATGATTTTAGGTTCAGAAGAGTCCGACGACGAAGAAGATATTCCTTTAAGCATCGCTAATAATGGTACTAGTTTTATCCAGTATATCTTAGTAATCAATACCTTCAGATTCTGAACCTTGTTTCTTGCATGTAAAATTTTATAGGTAAAGTTGAGCCTAAAGTTGAAGAGGCCAAGCTTGTGGCTGGGAAGGGCAAGGCTGCCAAACCTGAATCTTCTGCTGAGCCAAAGAAGGCTACTGCAGAGCCAAAAGAAGAGGATGAGTCTGATGAAGATGATGAATCAGATGACGAAGACGGTTCTGATGAGTTTTGGTGATGACAAGGTAATGATATTATATGTGTGATTCAATTTTTTAACAGAAACATCTGACTTTGGAAATGTTTTTAATGCCATTTGGAAAAATCGTGAGTTGCTCATGATTTTTTAGTGGCCCTAAAAGTCGAAGGTGTATGTATTGTAATAGGTTATTTATTGAGATACTACCTCTTATCCTGTAGATGTTGGAGGAAGGAACAAAAAGAGAACAAAACAATCTGAAATCAAATGTATTTTTAGGTGTGATAGAAACAAAGAGATAAAAAAATTTATTTTCTTCTTTTGTTTTTCCATCATATAAGATTATATAGAGACAAAAATGATATACTCGTGTACATGCGCCTGTTCCAGATAAAGAGAAGTCTCAGGGATTTAACTTAGGCACAATAACTTGTAGAATAAAGCAGAATTCCATATTACTGCAGAAAGATGTTTTTAATTTGAAATCCTCAGTTTTTGTTTTCTTTTATTGTTTTTGTTTTTCTTTTATAACCATTAAGAAAATTGTTTGTTTGCTTTTTCTCTGTCCATTTGTATCCCTTTTAGGTCTTTTTGGTGTCTGGTAGGAGAGCATAACTTTGTATATTTTGCTACCCCAATAAAATCAGCTTCAATTTATCTTACTTGCAACTTCTGACTTAAATGATCCCTGGAATATATTGATTGATGTATTTTTCAAGTTTTATTCTTCATTTGGCAAAACTTATATATGTTTATGTCACTGTACTTTTATACATGTCTTTGAAAGGACAATAATCTGATATTGGACTTCAATTCCTTTTCATTCTACAAGCTAGTACCCACAGCCTAATTAAATGAATTAAATTTTATGCACATGTCCTTTGGGATTTGAACCCTGAGAAGATTTATATTTCAAAGTTTGAAGTATTGAAGTTTATATGTTTAATTCTTAATTTATGATTCCATTGTTTTCTATTTGTTTGTTGACATGACATAATAATAGGTTAGATATGTCTCACTCTAAAGTGTGATGGTTTGAAGCTTTTGGTATATGATGGATGCTTCTCTTAATTTTATGTTTCCACGTTCAATATTGGCTTGTTGACATGAGAAACAGTTGGTTAGTTATATCTTATTTTAAATTTGCACTGTTGATTGTTTCTTTTAGGAGATGATGGATGCTTCAGATGACAGTGATGACTCTGAGGATGAAGATGACTCAGAGGACGAAGATGAAGAGACACCCAAGAGGGTAATGATATGGAAGAGAATTTGAGATTTTGGTGGTCTTATATATGAATACTCGTTCTTAATACATTGATACTATGACTATTTCACTTTGAAGGCTGCTCAGAACAAGAAGAGACTGAATGAATCTGCTACCAAAACACCTATTTCTTCTAAAAAGGCAAAGTTGGAAACACCTCAGAAAACAGGTGATCAGCTCTATTTGTTTTTTGAGAATAACTTGTCAAAAATAGCCACATATTGTGATATGACCTCATATTTTTTTTGTCTTAATTACAACTTGTATGATGGAATGGGTTTCTGCAATTGTCACTCTATGTTTTATACAGTTGATCTAAAATACTCTTTGCAAATGTTTTGTGTTCTAACTTATAGCTAAATTTCATTAGCTGCCATTTTCTAATTTTTATCAGTATGTTTATGGATTTTAAGTTGTAAGTATATTTGATGCTTTGCTTATGGTTTTGTTTTCTGTGAAGGAACTATGTTAATTTTATTGTAGTATCTTTGCAATTGTGACTATTTGAATACTATTATTTGATGAAAAACTCATATGTGAGCCTCTTGTTAGGGACAATTTATAAGGTGGGAAGGGATGGTCCAATTCTACTCCTTGAATATGTTGTATTATGGCTTACACTACATTTAAGATTTAGTTTTAGTTTGTAGTTTGCTTTATACTTGATACTTAAATTTGATGGGATAAAAACTTCTAAAATGAGGCAAATGATATGTACATTATGAATTTCTGTGGCCAAATCTGCTATTATTTTTGTTCAATGAAGTAGAAAAACTCCTTGTACAAGTCTTGAGCTTCTTCGAATTTATGTGAGTAATCTGCCACTTCTGGTGTTCAGAACTGCCTAAGCACAAGAATATGGGTTGCATTTTCAGGTTTTGGATGTTAATATTCCTGTGTATTTATTTATTTTTGTTATTATTAATTATTATCTTTGTCGTTATAATTATCTTGGCAGATGGTAAGAAGGGTGGCAGTCACACAGCAACTCCTCATCCTAAAAAGCAGCAGGGAAAACTCCAGCAAGTAATAGCAACAAGTCAAAGGAGCAAACTCCCAAGTCTGATGGCAAAGTTTCTTGCAAATCCTGTAGCAAGTAAAACTCATCACCAATAATCTCTCTTTTTCTCCTTTTGTTTTGATTTTGGAACTGGCTAGGCTGAATGTGTGATTTTGACAGGACATTCAATTCGGAGAGCGCCTTGCAGTCTCACTCGAAGGACAAGCATGGCGGCAAATAGAGTTTGAATCGCAATTTGACTGCACAGGAAGAGTTGAGAACATTTTGCCAGCATTTTTTGTGATAGTATCTCAGCCAACTGTTTTACAATTATCTATTTTATCTTTTGATTCACAGTTTTGCAGTCGATTATCTGTAGAATATTGCAACGATTGGTCAGCAGTCAACTATATTTTGTGTTAATCCTAAAATTTCGGTTGTCATTCTGTTTTAATATATTGGTTTTAGGATTGGCTGGATTGTTTCCCTTGTAAACATGTTTAGACAAAAATGGAGTGATCTGGTAATGGGCCTAATAGCAGTTTAGAGGTTTCACTCGCAATTCTTAAAAGGCTTTTTGTGATAAAAGCTGCAGAAAAGTAGGGTTTGGTTTCCTGTATTCACAGGAATCCTTCTTATAGAATAAGCCTTCTAAGCAGGGCTTTTTTAAAAGCTATATTAGTCTGCAGAAGGCCTTGACTCGTGTTGATAAAGAAGTTAACTGTCCACTTTTTTACTTGAATTGAATGGATGGAATCAAACATTTTAGTTTTAAAAATAAAGTTTGAAACCAATACGCATTTTATATAAGAATTCTGATTTTTGGTTAGAATGGTTTGACACTTCTTGTGCAGGGGCGCTCCAATTACTGTTTTACACCTGTACTGTAAATTCGAAACAAAACTGAACTGTTCCTTTGGATTTTTTTTTTTGATTCTTAATTATCTTTTAAAATAATTATTTATAATAATATTGCAAACGATATGGTCTGCAATTTAAGTGGATACTTTTCTTGATATCTAACTAAAAAAATCAAATATTTCACTTAGAAGATGAGACAAAAATGCGATATTGTTGTAATATAATTTTTTTATGCTCAATAAATTTATATATATATATAATAAAATTGTTAATAAAAATTGTTTGTTTTATTTAATAAAAAATTATAGTTTATGAAAATTGTCAATCTTGATCTATTCATGGTGCATAAAGAAAAAAATATTAAGGAAAATTGGGATTAATAATAAAAAGATTACTGGGGGCATTACGTAATTATGCACGGGTCAATGTCTTTCCCAGATGGGGCTTATAAGAGATCCATTTATTGCTTAAATGATCGGTATCTACCAAAATATGGCTTAGATTTCCTTTTAGATCAAGCCCAGAAGGAAGACTTCTATTAACTTATTTGGGGCTATCTGGATGGACTTGGTTGTTGTGGTATGAACGGGTTACGTTTGGATTAAATCTGGTTATCTATGTTTATATCTAAATCTAATTTGAGATGTTATAAAATTTATGTTCGCTAAATTATATTTAAATATAACGATTCTAATTTTTTAAATTTAAATGAGATATAATTTAAATTATATGTTGGGGGACTTGATTAAGTGAATTAAATTGATCAGGGGCTAATTAAGAGGTTGAGGGACTTAATTAAATAAAATAGATAGATCTGGGGTTTAATTAGAATTGTCAAGGCTTAAGTTGCAAGAAATTAGGGAAGGGAGGGTCAGCAAGAAAAGCAATGGACTTCAGGGGTCGAATTAGAAATGCTGGAGGAGCAATCTAAAAGAAATCAAACTTGAAGGGCTAAATTGAGAAAGGGGAAACATTTAAGTCAGCTACCGATAAGGAAAAACCTAATAAATTCATGAAAAAATTCAATGTTTTAACCACCTTTAATTGCGTAATTTCATACCTCTAGGTGTGTGGAGTTGAAATTGGCAATCAATTTCATAGTTTTGTTCCAAAAATTGATATCATTTTACTTTTGTTAGCCATGGTAGTCTGGTCAGAAATCCGACCACTTGGACTAGTCAGTCCCAGTTTTTTCAACTACCAACTTGACTGGAGGACACTCACGCAGTCTGGACAAGTTGTTCTAGACTTCTGTGGACCATCGATTGATTGAGATAGGCCAAGGTTAGGGCTAAATTTGTGTTGGGGTGTGTCAGGTTTTCTGCACAAGAGTCAAGTGAGGAAGATAGACCTGATTGAAATTTGACTTGCGCTAGTGCATCCAAACTGCCCAAAGTTGGTTGAGCTGAGTTCAGCCGGTTCATAGGTCAATTTGATCCAAGTTGAATTGGGTTTTGTCGATTTAGACTAGCCCAAAGGTGTAAAAGTCTGGTTTCAATCCAATTTTGGGTATTTTTAGTCTAGTTTAGTCTAATTTTGATTAATTCCAGGCTAGTTCAGTCTAATTTTAATGATTTTCGGGTCAGTTCATTTTTATGATTTAATTGACTAAACTGGTCTAATTTTAGAGTTTTAAGGCTAGTTCAAAAGTATTTATGTTTGATTCATGCGAATTTAGGGATATTTGAGGCTAGTTCAAGGGTGTTTGAGACCAATTTAGATCGATTCAGGCTAGTTCAGTAGAGTTTGAGACTAGTTCAGTGGTATTTGGGGCTGGTTAAGGTTAGTTTAGTGGTGTTTAGGGTTGGTTCGGGGGTATTATAGATTGATTCATTCAGGTTTAAGTGTTTTTATGTAAAATTAGCTCATGTTTTCAATCCGTTTTGGGTTTGGTCGTTAGATAATGAACCTCGAAATACATGCTAAGGTTCCGAAATAGGCTTAGGAGCCAATTTAAGTAGTTAAGCCCTTAATTCAATAGGTTTTGACTCCAATATTGATGCTTTGTTATTGTGATTGTAAATACACCTGAAAATATATGCTTTGATCGTTGAGTCATTGTTACGGTGATTTAGACTTTTAGATTCTTATTTATACTACGAGTGATAATATATTTTATACATGTGTTTTGAATGTTTGTTAGTTATTTCTTGTGAAAATAACTTTCATGCTATAAAAAAAATTATTCGTCATGATATAATTTCTTGGTTTGAATAACAAAATCTAAAATAGGTATTTTGAAATTGTTTTTCAAATGCAGTGAGCCAATTTAAAATTATACAGACTTTTGCTTCTCATTTGAAATAAATACGCATATGTAAATTGTTTGAAAATATTTGAAATATGTCTCCTTTATAAATCTTATTTTATGCATGTGGTGGGAGATATATGTTCTAATTATAATAATTCTGTCTGCGATACCCCCGGCCCGAGATATTCAACCGGTGATTTGATATGATCTTTTGATATGAGATTTTGTTCTGTTATATGATATTTGATACCTTCAATATGATACGCTCTATCAAAAGAAGAGAGCTTTGATTTGACATTTGTTCTAGTATGTAATGCCTCTGGTATGATATGCTATGATATTGAGATGATATTTTGTTTTAATATTTTCACCTGATTTTGAGTATTACAGGGCATATAATATGATTTTCAATGATTTACTTAAGTTGTTCACTGTTTAAGCTAGATATATATATTTTTTTGCACGTTTTGCGATGCATGTTCCAACTTGATTAAAGTTTATATTATCATTTATTGAGTTTTATACTCACACTTTTTCTAATATTTTTCAAATCGTAGTGTTGGTTCGCCTTCTTGTATGCATCTCTGAGCGTGTATGTGGTTTCTCTGACAAGCCTAATCTTGAGTATGAGCGATGTTATTTATGTTTATTTATACATTAGAGTTCCTCCATTTTGTTTTTTAGATATGATATTTCTATGTGTACATATTTTGACGTTTGTATTCGATTTGTTTAAATTATAATTATTTGTTTTGTTTGAAGTTTACTAGAGTTAGTAATCCAGCTTTAGTGCCAGTCACGTATTTGGTTTCGGAACGTGGTACTGAATCCAATAAATAACACAAAATTTGATAATAAAATATAATTTAACTAAAAAATAATAACTTTTTATAATTAAACCCCTCAACTTTATTCAATTAAATATATTGGCCTTAAATTTTTTTATTTTCTAGTTTTGTTTCTACAAGTTTGATTTTATTAATTATATAGTTTATTGAATAATTTAATTGAAGTATAATTTTAAAATTTAAATCGATTACAGATCAGATTTGATTTATAGTTCAACTTATTAACAAATCTATTGATACAAGTAGTAATGGTATCTTGAATATTGTTGTTGGATCTGTTAACAGCTACGGAAAAAAATAAATAATTAGATTTTTAATGATGCTAATTGCTTGTTGATTAATAGCAAGCACGGGTACCTATTAAATCCCCGATGAGCTACGTTGTTATGCCTCCTAATGCTTCTTCCCCTTCGAGCTAGCTTGATTAAGTTCCAACTTCGATGCAGTTTTTAGAGCCTTTAAACTCAGCACTTACCAAGTCTTGGCTAAAGATTATAACGGGGGAAATTCTAGGAATTCAGACTGGGAGAATACCCTAATATTTCATCTAGCAAAGGTGCAGAAGCTTGGGCTTTGAGGAAATGTCTTGTCTAAGCCGAAAGAGGGAGAATTGAAGAGATTGTTATTAAAAGTGATGCTTTTGAGATAATTCATTATCTGGTACTACACCCACCCCTAATCTCATAAAACAAATGAAGACTGAATTGTCCAAGAATAGAAGAAAAAAATGCTTACAAGTTTTTCCTTTTTATTCCCTTGTGAACCTAAAGAAAACTAACAAGATAGAGACAGACCAACAAGACAGAGAGACAAAATCTTACAAAAAAAGAGGGAAAATAATGACTATGAGGGAATTTCAATTGACTTGTTCTTTAAGCTTGTACATTTCTTTTGCCTGAACATCTTACTGTCTGTATAAATGATGACATGAAAATGCTATTTGCTGTTCTTTTCTTCCTTGCAGATCTCATGATCGGCTTGCTACTGAAAGATGAAAGGTCTGAAGATTTCCCTCGACGGAAATTAATAATAACTTGGTTTTATTTCTAGGAGCTCAAATAGTAACAAATTCAATTGAATGTTTGAGAACACAAGGCACCCACATCTGTATCTGTACATGTTGAGATGAAAATCTAAGTGCCAGGGACAATAGTGCCGATGTAGCCAAATCCCATGATAGTGAAGGTTATGGTTTGGAGGAAGAGATAGACAAAGTAGTAATTCTTCCCATAGAGGAAATCATAGCATGCGCTGGTGAAGAGGAACAATGCAAATCCCAGCTCAGGAAATGAATTCTGCAAATTTAATTCAGTAGGTATGAAAAATCAAAAATTATGTAATCATATATAACCTAGATGCTTAATGGTTGATTGAAATGCATCATCCAATTTGATAATAAAACAAGTACAGATTTATAAGCATCTATAAGCAACTTTCTCCTCTCTGAATATGCTATAATTTTACCTGTCCCAAATTTTGAATATGGGTCTTTTTGGGGCTTTGGTGTTTGATTTGTTTTTGAGAGCATCTCCAAGTTTTTCGGTGACAACCCACTCGTTAGCTCTCCCTGCTTCTAGCAGACCAATGAAGGCTGCCTTTGTTCGGTGCAGAGACATCACATTCTCGAAAAGGATCCAGTAAAACAGTAGGTGAATCGACCTGCAATTCAGGAAAGAAGTCAAGAAGTGTGATGTCATTTTATTTGGATTTGGAGAAAAATGAAAGCAAAGGAACTACCTTGGAGTTCCAACAGCATTAAGGGTGGTGATGATGCAAGGGATGTAGATGGCTCCCCACTGGGGCACTTCAACTTCAGGAACAAAAATGGTGAGGGGAAGAACCACACAGTAGAAGAAGAATGTGACCATGTGCGCTATGATCTTCCTAACAAAGAAGAAGCTGTAGATACGTATACTTTCTTCCACAGTGACACTTTCTGCGTCAACAACATTCGGAAACCACACTTAAGAAGTAAACAAATAAACTTTATGATCGATAAAATATTTTATCAGTGGCCTACTGACCTTGTTTCTGATGATTTCCATGACCATTTTCCTAAACAAATTGGCAGGGCCGCAGGACCACCTGTGTTGCTGAAACGGAAAGCTTTGAAAGTACTAGGAAGCTCGCTTTTAACCTATCAGCATCATCAGATGAGCAAAATGAGAGAGCCGA